CCCTGACGCCCTCTTCCCCTAACATCTCCCCGCCCTCCTCCCCATGCCCCGTTGTGGCAGGGACCTCAGTTCTTGGCACCAGGTCCCTGGGCACCAGATGGTCCCTTCCATGCCGTTCCCTTTGTCTTGCCTTCCAGTTAGCCCACCCCTCTCCACTGCCCTCCCTCCCACCTGCCCTGGGGGTTGGCAGCAGGAAGGGTGGGTACCTCCCACCCCTCTTGGCACTGTCCCCAGACCACAGGGCTCCCCCAGGCAGCTGGCCTTGGGGTATAGTGGGTATGATGGGGAGCATGGGGTGGGGGCGGTGGACAGGGCCTCCCGAGGGCCGCTGAGACAGAAGGGAAGGATCCAACTGGAAGAGAAGAGAGAACCAGACGGCGGTGGCAGCAGGACGGATGGCCAGGCAGCAATACAAAACGCAGCTTTATTGTCGGGCCTAATCTGCGGGCAGACTGACAGAGATCTGTGGTGGGTGGGACTGAAGACCTCAGAGCTCCAGGGGGCTATGTGGACGCTGACGTCCCGGATGGACCACAGGGCAGGGAGGAGCCTGGGGCTCGGTGGGCGGTGGGCGGCGGGCGTGACATCAGGAGGAGGAGGATTCATTGGTGTTGACCAAGGTCAGAGGCTGATGCAACAGGCCTTCTTCTCCCCGGCGCCTGTGTCCTGTCCACCCTGGGCCGTGCCCAGGGCGATGGCATTGGTCCGGGTGCTGTTCTGCCTCTGTTTGGATACCTTGGTAAAGATCTCTGAGTAGGGTAGAGGGCAATGATCAGAACTGAGAGGCCTCGCTGCATTCCTCCTGTGCCCTCCCGAGCCCCACCCTTTTTGGTTATTGGGGGTGGCCATGTGTCAGGGTTTTCCTGGAAGGAACTAGAGTTTGACACCTGAGTCCTTTCTCCTTACCTGGTTACGAGAACCTGAGTGGGGAGCTGGGAGGCTCGGAGGAGGCTAAGGGCCCAGAGAGGTGCTGAGGGATCGGCTGGGGCAGGGGCTAGGGCCCTGGGGTGGAATGGGGGTACCAAATGGGCACAAGTGCTCTAACCTTTGAGGACAGTCTCAAAGGCCAGTTCGACATTGGTGGAGTCCAGGGCCGAGGTCTCCAGGAACAGCAGCCCGTTGTTCTCTGGCAGGCGGGGAGGGAAGCATACCATGAACCATGCACGGAGAGGGACAGAGGCAGTGCTGACAGACATGTGCTGTCTACTACGTCCCAGGCAGCGTGCCCTGAAGCGGCTCAGCTGGTCCTTACAACAACCTCTGTGGCAGGTACGATGACTGCACCTCTTTACAGAAGCCCAGGAATGGAGAGAATGGGTGAGGATTTCAAACCCTGGTCCTTCACCCCCAGACCTGGTGGCCTCCAACCCCCAGAAAACTCATGAGGCCAGGTGTGCCTGGAGCTGCCCAGAGGAGCCTGCCCCTTCGCCGCTCAGGATAACCGGGCATTGCAGGACAAGGCTGTCTTCCAATCCACTGTGAATAGTGGTCCTTGCAGAGAGTCTCAGGGTAAAGGTGAGGGGACAGAATGAGGTGCAGGAAGACTAGGCTGGAGAGGCAGGGCTGGGAAACTCGTGGGGGCGGGGAAGGCTTCTGAGTGGGTCTTGGCAGGCTCTCACCAGCGAACATTCGGGCCTCCTCGGTGGGCACTTCCCGGGCCTGGCTGAGGTCACTCTTGTTACCTACGAGCATGACGACGATGGTGGCCTCCGCGTGGTCGTAGAGCTCCTTCAGCCAGCGCTCCACCACGGCGTAAGTCTGGTGCTTGGTTAGGTCAAACACCAGGAGGGCCCCCACAGCACCACGATAGTACCTGAGCAAGGAGTGAAGGGGGTGGTGGGGAGAGCAGAGCGGCCAGGTCAGGACCATGGGGGCCATCAAGTCACAAAGCAGAGACCCGAGGACCCAAACTCCTGCCAGGCAGAGCCCAAGGCTTTTGTACCCCTTGGAGAGGTCACCTGGGACCCGGGCCTCAGAGCAGCCTCAAAGCCTCACCTGGCTGGGGATCCTCTGCAGCCTCCCTCCTTCCCTCATAGCCCCTCCACCGTGCTCACCGCTTGGCTCTGACGTTACCTCCTGCTACTCATCCCTAAAGGAGCCCTGGTGGCATAGTGGTTCCGCATTAGGCTGCAAACCACAAGGTCAGCAGTTCAAAACCACCAGCCTCGCCGCAAGAGAAAGATGAGGCTGTCTACTCCTGTAAAGATTTAGAGCCCCAGAAACCCACCGGGGCAACGCTCCCTCAGTGCCCATCCCTCCAAGCAGCCCCTGACCTCAACGTCTCCAGACACCCATCCTCATTCTTGGAACTGGTTGTGGCTGCTCCACACTGGTGTTGTCTGAAGTATTCCTACTTCCCCAGCCCCACCCCCTGGTTATTCCCCCCACCTTTTGTTTAATTGGTCAATCAAGGCTCCTAAGTGGTCAGATGACCAGCCCAAGAGTGTGGGGTGTGTGTGTGTGTGTGTGTGTGTGTGTGTGTGTGTGTGTTCCTTGTGAGTGACTGAAGTGGCTGGATTCCTTCCCCGCTGACAAATGCTGTACATACTCAGACCACCATGGTCACACAATTTGGCCTGACACTGTCAGTAGGACAATCTGGAGATGACCCTGACAGCCCTCCCAGTTTCCTGTTAGACCAGCAGTTTTCAACCTGTGGGTCGAGACCCCTCTGGGGTGGACCACCCTTTCACAGGGGTCACCGATTCATAACAGTAGCAACATGACAGTGAGGAAGTAGCAATGAAAGTAACTTGATGGTTGGGGGTCCCCACCACATGAGGAACTGTATGAAAGGGTCGCCCCATGAGGAAGGTTGAGAACCACTGTGTTAGACGGTAAAGGGTGCTCCAGATAAAGGGAGCCTACTCCCATCCCGGCTCCTCCCTGGCCTGCCCAGCTACAGCCTGCAGTTTCAGTGTCGAAATGGATTCAAGTGCACCCGCACTCCTGGCGGAACTTTGAGGGTTACTTAAAATTAAGATGCCACCCTCAAACGCCGTGAGCACAGCCGAAGTGCTGGCAGCGCCTCTTATTTCAGCCTAGTTGTTCGCAGCACTGTGGTCTGTTCACAGTGCATGTGTGTGCATTGGGTCTCGGGACCACTCCCACCCCCCACCCCACCCCCGGCCTGGGCTCACGCTGACGTGATGGCTCGATAGCGCTCCAGGCCAGCCGTGTCCCAGATCTGGGCCTTGACAGCGGCAGTGCCCAGCATGACCGTGCGTGTGGAGAACTCCACCCCGATGGTGGTGCGGCTGTCGTGGCTGAACTCATTGCGCGTGAACCGGGATAGCAGGTTGGTCTTGCCCACGCCGGACTCGCCGATCAGCACAACTGGAGGTGGGGGAGGGAAGGGCTCAGGAAGGGGCCCGAGCAGCCCCCAACCCACCTGAGCTTGGAGCATCTGCCCACCAAGAGGGCAGGGGAGCCCGGCTCCCAAAACTGAAGAGGCAGCTGGGCTCCTGGGGAGGGGGTAGGGTCAGGCCCACAACCCCGCTTGGTGCATCTGTCCTGGGCCAAAGGTTGAGTCTGGAAGGAATGAGGGGGCAGCATGCTCCATAACGCAGTGGGCTGCGGAGGGCCACCCTCCACGAAGTCTCAACAATGGACTCCCCGCTGCCAAGATCATAAAGACTGCGCAGGGCCAGGCCACGCTTCCTCCTTCTCCACGCAAAGTGGCCGCGAGCAGAGCCCACTGGACGGTGGAACCACCGCCACACGGACTGCAGGCCAGGTCTGTTGGGGTGGTGCTATGGAGAGTCAGCCTTGTGTCAGGTGGCGGGGTGTGGGGGGGGCAGGGGGAGGGTCTGTGGGCAGTGTGGGTGTTGATGCTCAGGGCTGGTGAGGAGGTTACTGGGATGTGGGGCTGTGTGGGCACACCTGGTGGGCGGTCTGGGGGATGGACGCTCTCCTTCTGGAAGAGAGAGTCAGGAGTGGGGAGAGTGGGCGGGGTGGGGTGTGTATCTCCAGGGATCATAGGTGTGGCTAGAGATGCGGGTGAACAGCAAGTCTGGCAGGTGACGTGTCTGTGGGAAAGTGTGTGCCCCTTGTGTAAGAAGTTGGGGTCTAGTCCCTGACGTCCCGCCTGTCAAGGGCTTGGGGCCGGGAGTTGGACAGGGGAGCGCAGCGAGACAGTCCAGGCTCTGCCTTGTAACAGGTGTGTGTCCTTCAGTAGGTAGTTTAACCTCTCAGAGCCTAGGGATTTAAATATGGAAAACGGAAGGACAATCCTATCTACCTTGTGGTGGCCCTATGTAAATGGGATACTGCCCAGAGCACAAGGAAATGCATGAACTTGTTGCAGTTGCCATCCTTGCAGGTAGACCAGTGCTTTGGCTGTTGTTTTTTTCAGGGCCAGGGGCCAGAAGGACTCTAAGATGCTTTGGGCTTCTGGGTGGTGCCCAGGGGCTGAGCTTACCGGCTGTGGGGGAGCCAGAATCAGTGTGAGGGACCCACAAACCACACTGGCACAGAGCTTAGCATCTAGGGTACAGGAAGCCACCTTGCAGACCCCAGGTGGTTCTGTGGAGGCGGGTGGCACCCACAGACTGGGAACCACACACCCTGAGTCCTGAAGAGCCTTTGACCAGTTGGACAACCTTAAATAAGTTGTTCACCTTTTCTGGGTCAGTTTCCTTGTTTATAAACTTATAAAGGTCACTTTTTATTTTTAAAGGTCCCTTCTAACTTAAAAAAATGTCCTTATTTATGTAAGGCAGGGAAGAGCTGGGAGCAGTACGGGCATGCCTGGGTAAGAAGATGGCAGGTGTGTGTGTGCCTGTCTGTTTTCTCTACTGAGAACCTCATTCCCATCTCACCTCCCTCAGAAAGTGGGCTCACAGCCCTGTCCTCAGGCTCCAAAGGTGCTCAGGGCAGAGGCTTTGGACTCTACCACAGTTTGAGTACCGATTTTGTGACCTTTCGTCAGCTATGGACTCTGTGTTGAAGCCTCAGTGCCCCCCTCTGTAAAATGCGGGTGCTGATGGGCTAACGTTTACTGAGTGGGCCAGGCACTGGCCTTAAAAACCCTACACATGTTTTCTTCACAGATCCATGAGGTGGGCACCGTTCCTCTTCTTCCCACCCTACAAAGAAAATGAGGCCTTTAACTGGCGTGCCCACGAGAACGCACCCTGGGCTGTGCTGCCCAAGATGGGCCTTCAAGGTAGGACTTGTTGTCCAGCTGCAGGGGGAGTGGCCAGCTGCCGGCCTCCAGCTGCCGGCTCCTTCAGCATCTGTCTCTGGCACAGAGAAGTCGCCTTGATGAGGCCATGCCCTTGCTGGGCACCGTGCGGCTAGCACTTGAGCAAGGTCAAGCTAGGGCAGGCTGGGCCCCTCTGATCGCAGCAATATTCTCCCCAGCGCTCCCAGCCTCGCCAGGCTTTGTCAGTCCTGCTCTGCGGTTGGGCCTCTCTCTCTGCCCAGTCCTGTTTCCTCCCCGAGCCTGCAACCCAGACTTCTTCTCTGCTTAGGCCCCTAACTTGGAATGACTGCAAGTGGCAGAGCTGAGATGGAAGCCACAGTGCTGATACTGCCTGGAGATGAAAGGGTCACTATTGTGATTAAAAGGAGCTGTCATGCACCAGGGGTTACGCATTGGACCGCTGGCCAAAGGTAGGCAGTCTGAATCTACCAGCCTTGCAGCGGGGGGAAGACCAGGCTGTCTGCTCCCATAACGATTTACAGATTGAAAACCCAAAGGAGCCGTTCCACTCTGTCCTGTGATGCCGCTCAATCTCAACAGTGGTGTGTGTGTGGGGTTGGCTTTTTGGTTTACAGAGATGGTGCTGTGGGTTAGTGGTTCAATCCACCAGCCGTTCCACAGAAGAAAGATGACCTACATCTATAGCTTTGAGAACCCTATAACAGGGTGGCCATGAATCAGAATGGATTCAATCATGCATTGATCATGATTGAAGGAGTCCTGGTTACACAGTGCCTGGGAAACCCTATGGGGCAGGGGCAACTCTAGCCCGGGTAGAATGGACTCAGTGACCATGGATTTTATCATGGTGAATTAAGTCCCTGGGTGACTTAATGCAAATGGGTAAGCATTCAGCTGTCAACCCAAAGCAGGCAGTTACCACCTCTGCCTCGGCATGCGGAAAGAAAGGCCTGGCTGTCTTCCCGGAGGTCTGATTTCCAAAGGTCACCCGTGGGTGACCCTTATGGCATGCAGCTCCCCTCGGAAGCAGGAGGGGCTGCTGTACGTGTCCGAGAATGATTTCAGGAGAAAGTGGCTGGAACGTAGTAAACTAACCAGCCACCCCACGGCGGGCAGGTGGCCAGTGTGTCTCCGTGGAACTGCCTAGGGTTCTCATAGCAAACCTGCTCCCACCGCCCTGGAGGTGATTCGGACCCTGAGGGTTTTCAGAGTCTGTACATCTTCACCAGAGCAGACACAGCCTGGCCTTTCTCCTGTGGAGCAGCTGGTAGGTCATCGCCTGGTGGTTCGCAGCCCAGCCTGTAACCCCTGCACCTTTCATTGTGAGGCTCAGGAAACAGTCACCTTGCCCCAGACGGCTAGTCACTTTCACCATCGATTTCACCTCTTTCAAGGGAAGTTCTCTCCCCCAGGTGAGCTGAGAGGCAGGGGCTGGAGTGGAGACAGACCGGGCTGTGGGGGCAGAGGGGTGTGGAGACTGAATCAGAGCCCTGCCCTAAAGGAGGTGTGTATGTAAAGGGGAAGGGGGTGGGGTGCAGCATATGTGCCAAACACAGCATGATAAAGATACCCACACTTCCAGTTGGGTATCAAGTTGAACCCAGGGGTCTGCTGCTACCTGGGGGCTAGGGGTTTGGCAAGATCTCACCCCCAGGAGTCCCCGGATTCATTCCATCTCCCCATGTCTTCCCCTGCCCCATGAAGGGAGCGGCTTCTCCTGCACACCTGCCCAGAGGATGACGTTCTCCCTCTTCTTCTGCATTCTCCCCTCTCTCCTTAGGAGGAAAGTCCTTTCTGAAGTCTGACCTCCATCTCTTGTGCTGCAGTGGCAAGCTATTCCCAGAGACTTGGGCACACTTAGGAATGAGGCAGGGGACACGAACTCAACGGGCACTTTAGCTTCATTATTTATAAAAACAGAGTCCTGCCACTTTTACCTTTGCAACCAGACTGCCCTCCCTCTACCCCACCCCCCTAGCTAACTTTCTTATCTAGAGGAATGTTGAGCCCTGGGGTTGGGGGAGAGCACTGTGTAGAGAAGTTCAGGAGGGGAGTCCAGTAAGAGGTTCATTCTAACAGGAAGCCCTTTTTAGCTCTAAGGCATTTTTCTGGGTCTCCCAACCTGCCTCTCTCCCCAGAAACCCCAACTCACCCTTGAAGACAAAGTTATAATCCTCTTCGGTTCTGTTCCCCATCTTGGCTCCGCATGGAGGGTGGGAGTGTCCTTGGGGACAGAGGTGTGGCGTTGACTCAGCCCTCGGTTCTCCAGAGACCTGAGCCCACCTCTCCTCTCATTGGAGTTCTGCAGCCCCGATGGCAGGCAGGCCGACAGGAGGTTAGGCAGGGCCTGGGAAGGCTCAGCTCCGGCAGGTGGAGGTGCCCGAAGGAAGCTGAGAAGACGGAAGCTGCGAACAGGAAGAGCGAGGAGGCTGGAGGCCTGAGGCCCAGGTGGGTGGAGAGAAGGTGACGTCAGACAGGTTAGACAGGTTGGGTGTCTACTGTCAGCTGGGGCACCTGTAAGCACTGCAGGAGCAGGGCAGACTGGGGCCCAGGGAGAAAGCAGACTCAGAGCGGAGGGCTCATGGCTGGGACCAGTGGCAAGTGGGGGCCCAGCTGCCGGTACTCACGAGAGCCCCACAGGGCGCAGAACCCCACTAGGTCTGTGCTTTTCCTTCAAAACAAGGTGAAAAAAAGCTTCTGGGGAAGGTGGCCTGGGAGCACAGAGGAAGGGGTGCTGGGGCCAGATGGGTGTCAGGCCCCCTGCTGCGGGCGCAGACCTGTGAGTGGCGCTGCACTGCCCCTCCCTGCAGCCCAGGGCCTGGGAGGGGCGCATGTCTCACCCTGGGTGGAGCTGAAACTTGCAGCTTGACCAACTTCTCTAGGATCAGCCCTTACCATGGCACCAGAAGCCCTCTGTGCTGTTGATGCCCAGAGTAGGGGGAGCCCAACGGGAGAAGTAGCCAGATGGGGTGAAGGGTGGGAGTTTGAAAATGAAGGCCTCCCAGAAGTCGAGGGCTGGCTTTTCTTTGCTCCCTCCCAGGACGGGAGGCTTCAGAGCTGCATATTCTAACTGGGACAGGAGAAGTGCTATTATGTGTTACAATGTATAGCTCTGCCTTCTCTTTCAGCAGCTTTCTCTTAGTATGTTAGCATCATCCATTAACCTATCCTGTCTTGCACTGTAGTTCCCTCTATTATAAAATTTTAAATTTTACATTTTAAAGAACAAAAAAATGTAGCCTCAGGACCCAAAGAGGGTCCAAGTATGACTCCCCGGGAGAAAAAGAAAGGGTGCTGGCCCCTTGCAGGTGGCCCAGAGGCACCTCACAGCCCCAAAGGCAGAAAAGGGTGACCCGGCATATATAGAGGTCTAGATAAAGACATGTACATATACAAATATATTTATATATGAGGATGGGGAAATAGATCTGTGTGCCTATATTTATAGGTTTAGTATTAAGGTAGCAGAGGGACATTGGGCCTCCACTCAAGTACTTCCTCAATCCTCGAATACTTTCTTCTATTAAATTGGCATTCTATGATGCTCACCTTCCCAACACAACCGCTGAAGACAAAGCGGGTGAATAAGCAAATGT